AGAAGAAGTCCAAACATGGACGAAGTAATTTCCAAAAAAACATTATGGCTGTCAGCGTTAACGCGGTCATCACGATTAACGCGATTAAAATTTTTTAACGTGCTCAACCCATCTGGAGCGCAGACTGAACAAACTTTGGACAAACTGCCCGAAATGTGTTGAAAGAGACATTTCAGGGTTTTTTGACTCAGTCTGCGCTCCAGATGGGTTAATTATTAATTGCATTAGTCATGATGACGGCGCGTTAATGCTGACAGCACTAAAAAAAAATATAGTCGCCAATTTGAGATGAAAGAGGTAAACCTACAGATGTAACCAAAGCCAGTTGTGCAGACGTCTAGTGCAAGCAAAGTACTCAAACACGATCAACTTGCATGAGCATGTATGTGTCCACCATCCGGCTGAGTATGCTAGGCTACCACCAGCTTCTGCAGCTCCATCAACAAGCATTTTGGCTAAAAACAAGCGCGTCCACGCTCACAGGTGTACACACGGGTGATCACACACAAACTACACCCTTTTTGGCTCCTACCTCAAAGCACACTGTGCGCTGTTGATCTTACGTGCTGCACAATAATGTTTAATATTTAGTATTTACTGTTATATTCCCATATATCATCATGATGTTGTTTATTGCATTGCTCTCGTTTTCTTCTGCTTGTTTTCTTTTTTCTTTCTCAACAGGTGATCCAGGTGATTGATATATGTATTTTTTTTTGTCTGCTTATTTAGTTGGTTTTTATTATTTTGCCCTTTATCCCCGTCCCTCTTCTCCGCTGTTTTTCCCCGTATTCCTTTCTCCCTTTTCTTTTCCTCATTCAAGTCTGTCCTGTATCTAGCAAGTGAAAATAAAAAAATAAATAAAATAAACAATAAAAGGTGAATCAAATAGACCATTACGACAAGTCTGGGATGGTCAATTTGGTAAAGTAGATCCGTTGGGCATCTTTCTTTGCCTTTAGACAATAATTCTGATGGCAAAAGAACCAAACGGGACAGGCAAAAAACAACAACAAAAACCAAACCAAACAAAACAAAAAAAACAAGCATTAGGGCGCACTCTGAGGAGGGTGCATTTGCTCGCAGATGAAAGAGGCACTATTATTTTTTTCCTGTTGACTGCTTATGTTATCTCCATCATTATTAGCAAACTTACTCATAGGCAAATAAATAAATAAATAAATAAATAAATCGCCCTTGTAAAAACGATCGCCGATGGGCTCAGCCCATCATCGATAGTCAATATATTTATCCAATCACCCAACCCTACTAACCCTCTGGTAACTATTTGGACAAACATAAATTAAAT